AAACTTATGGAAGGAATCTGTTCCAGACTGCGTTTGTCTTTTGCCGAAGCTCAGACTCTGGCACAGGATCTGGAACGTTGGAAGCTCTGTCTGACGTGTCTCCCTCCGCGACCCGAAAGGAGAAGCGGCGATGGAAGATGAAGATATTTTTAATTAATATTATACTCCCAGTCGCAGCATATGTTTCACGAAGTCTCACTGACGTCAAGCAACAATGCTTGAATTTACTCTTTGTGACACACTGTCCTTCCAGTTTATCCCCTCTTAACTTTATTTCATAGTTCTATGCTAGTTTCTTTGGTGGTTCGGTTCATTTTTTCATTGACTCTTTTTCTGGACTCTAATCGTTCGAGTAGAATTTTGCTTTGTGATATGTGCATTGGTTGCATAGTTTTTATTTTCTTTTGCTTAAGAATAAAATTCCCTGATGATCTTATTCAGGCACTAAATTTACGTTCTTTAATTAAAAAATGACTTTTTGGTGTGATGATATTATGAACTTTATTCCGATGATTCTGTTATATCCATTATCAAAGATAATGGTAATGAACGAAGTAACTCCCTCTTTGAAGTGCTGATTCTTCGGCTGGTAGTATAACGGTTGAAGTACCAGCTGAACTGAATACCGAAGATCGTTTAACACGGCACTGAAGCGAAAAAAAATTACCGAAGATGGCGTACCTCATAAGAGTCGTTATGTTCGGGGATTATACTTTGGTAACGTGAGGTGAGAGTTTCATTCCCTTGGACCAGTTGGACCTTGCGATTGGTTTCTTGTCCTTTATAACACACTTTTAATCGATCACTCAACGATGAACAACGTCATATGATACGCAGTTAGTTTTTTGTTCATGTATTTTTTTCTTGAAATCGATTTAACTTTCTCAGACTTTATAAGCAATAAAAGACCAACTATGATCCCGTTGCCTGAGGGATAAAGTAAGTAATGAGTTAGCTTCGTTAATGTCTTATCTTCTGAATTGAAATTGTACAAGTTTGTTGTTAGATCACCGTTGAGCCGGAAACAGCAAATGTAGTCCCTGTGTGAATGGTTATAATCATTGGCATATTTTTCCTGAAAGTCCAACATTCATTCTTAATGTCGACTCTCTACCAACCGGAGAAGCTGCAGGGGCTAGATTCCAAGGGGTTGATGCCAAGTGTTCTGCCCGTTGGTCGCTTTCATTGTGGCTTGAGCTGACCGTCTTTGTAGTCTCATGTTTAGTATCCCAATCAGATGTTCAATCAACACTAACGTGGTCTCTGAATCTTAAAAATGAGTGACTGGCAACCGTGTAAATATATCTCATGAGTCATAATTATGTTAGTGTGCAAAGTACAACCGGGCGGCTGCATAGAAATAGCAAACTTTGCTGTTCAGCGAATGGCGTGGAATAGCAAGAGTGCGTGTTGCAGCTGACGCCGTCTCTTTATCAGTCGAAACTTGTTCTTGAACCTACCAAGAAGTCGTTAAAAAAATTTTCAAGACATAAGACCACAAGAGACTGTAACGAAAGAAATGGATTGTTTGAACTTTGGAGATGCGGATGGTTGATGTAATTCATATTCAGACAGATGCTGCAGAGGACGTTTCTTAGATGGTTTTCTTCAGAGTATATGTTTGGATCGAAAGTTTCTGATAATGGTATGAAGGAATTTATCTTCTGTTTTTAGCGGCTGTTCATTCGGTCAACAACCTCAATGGAAGACGTGGCTGGTCAAGTGGTCGACATCATGATTCAGACATCCGTTCATAAGGATCAGGCTGATCGGTATGGTTGACTTGTTGTTGGTTTCTAAGGGCTTCTTTGTACGTAAGCGTTTTAAATTTAGACTACGAGCGTTGCTTGAATCGATTTTGAACGACGAGCAAAACAAGCGTGACGGCACTGCCATGGCGAATGCACTAAACTTGTTCATTGACTCAAGTTAGATTACGCAGTAGACTGTTTTCGGGTGATCCCCGGTTTTTTTCAGTCGTCAGCGAAAACATCAGTTTGGTCGTATCGAGGCAGCTCGTGACAGAGGTCGCCCAGAAATTAAGCCAGTTTCCAGACGAGGTCGCTCGAGAAGTCGGTCATCGCTTGCTTAGCGTCATTCAACCGAGGGTTATCTCCTACGAAGAACAGGTACTTCGAGACTAGTGTTTGAATTTCTGAGCAGGAGACACTAAGCATGTTTTGGCCTTTTGACTTGATTACTTTCCTGTGTTCAAGGAATACTCTACTTTGAGAAAGAATCAGCTGATTTTGAGAATGCCTATGTTTTATTTGTTTTGTTGCTTGATAACAAAATCAAAAGGAATGCTCCTTTTTTGAAAGCCATCATATATTCAGAATAAGTGTTCGTATGTCAGGCTTTTACTTGGTGATTTACTCCTCAGAACTATGATTCATTGTCTGTTTAACTCACTTTTTTCTTTTTTGCGTGGGGGCATTTAAGTAGGATATGATTCCATGGTATGGAACACCTGCTGTGTTAGATTCACTTTGGATCACTCGCCTTTCTTCCTTCCAAGGTTGATAAATGAGTCGTACTATGTGGAAAAGGAACAGGAAACTACGCGCTAGGCGTGCTACATGGCTGTAGAGTCTGCCTTTAAAAAACGGAGCACCCATGGCTGATGGCAGAGAAACGGAGATCAGCACTATACCATCGAATTCATAAAAGACGGCCGTCAAAATGACCCAATCATGAAAGTGAAGGAAGACCGACATTCAACCATTAGATGCGTCTTGCACAATTTACTCACTAGGGCATTGTCGCATTCCGCTAATCACAAAATGTAGTTTCAACAATTAATAGTCCTTATATGTTATCGTGTGAATATCGAAACTAAATTTTCGTATTCTGTAGTATGTCAGTTGATGCATAACTCTTTCAAGACCAGATTTCGTGACACATTGCACCGTTTCTCTGCTCCTTCTTGCATAAAGGGACCATTAATGCGGTAATATAAATAAGGTAGTAGTACTGAAGTGTTGTGATTACAATGTGGTTTGTTCAGCAAAAGGAAACGATGTCAGCTGCATCGGTGAATGGAGGCATTAAGCTATGATCCGTGCACATGGCTTTCAAGGCAACTAGAGAAAAAGTAACTGGCCGTGAAATGCAGTTTTATACGTGCTATTTGCCTGTCAAATTGTGCCATAACCACAGATCTACGAATGTGTCACGATGACAAACACAGTAAACAAGACAGTATTGAAATGAGCAAATTAAAAACAGGAAATACGCAAAAACTGTGGTCTTCTGGATTTCAGAAGGTCTAGAACACGCGAAGTAACACCGTGCCTTGTCCGCCCATACATGTGCTTATAGGCTCAGTTTTCTTTAAAAGAAGGCCTGAGGAACATCGTCGTAGATTGTCGAACAGGTACCTCGACACCTCAGCCTAGAAAGGTGATAACGGCTCTCCGATACCTCACCGACATGCGTGAAGTTTCTCTAAAGCTTATATTAAGTCGTTGCACCTAAGATTGAGTGTACCTCATGCAGAGTATTCGCAATGAGCACTCATAACGAACTTTGTAAT